TGTGTGTGTGTCTGTGGGTGTGGGTGTGTGGGTGTGTGTGTGTGTGTTTGTGTGTGATTGCGCTTCCAGTCAGAGTGCTGCGCATCGGCTCTCAGCGTATAGTATTTGAGCCTGCGTCTCTCGGGGGTGAGGGATCTGGATCTGGAGAATAGAGCAGACATCTCATGGAGATCCGGATCCGGGGCCCACGAGAGAAGCAGGCTTGAATTCTTTTTGTTGCCAGCCGTCGCGTGCGCCTTGTCTGCCGTGTGAATCACACACACACACACACACACACACACACACACACACACACACACACACACACACACACACACACACACACACACACACACACACACACACACACACACACACACACACACACACACACACACACACACACACACACACACGTGAATTGTGCGTGTGCGACCCACGCAAACTACTACTTTTTTGTCGTGCGCGGCTGCGTCGTAAAATTCTTTTGTAAAATTCTTTTTGCTGTGGTGTACCTGTGTTAGTGCCAGTGCGCGCCAGTCCCGTGCCTAGTGTCGTGCGAGGGATTATTCTAAAATTCTTTTTGCACCTGTGTTAGTGCCAGTGCGAGCCAGTCCCGTGCCCAAAGAAGAAAAAAAGAAAGAAAACAGAAACCCAAGGGAGGAATGGGAGAACGGCACGCCGCCACCACACAGGGATTTTAAGGAGAGGGGTGTGGTGCGCTAGCCGTCGCCCACCCTTGGGCGTCCGCCTCTTCCTATCTCACTTCGCCGTCTCTCTCCGATTCTCGCTGCAACCTTCGTGCCACCTCGCGGTCTCCCCCTTCTCCCAGTGTTGTGCGACCGCGCGTTGTAAAATTATTTTTGCTGCGAGAGAGAGTTCGTTGTTTAAATTCTTTTTGCTGCAAATTCTTTCTTGACACTTCTTTTTTTTGAGCTTAGCCTTCGATGTTATGAAAACAAACGCAAGGCGGACATGGCATATCGCTCTCGGGCTCACAGACATCCCTCACACCCGCGCACACCCGCCGCCCCCGCGCGCGCCCCCCCCCGGCCGGGAGAAAGGGGAGTGACAGTTTGGGACTCGCAAGCCCGAGTATGTTGAGTCCTGGCTCAACAACGCAGATAACAAGAGGGGGTGGTCCGGCTCACAGGTCCGGCTCACGCGCCTCGAGCTCGCCATCTACCGCACTGAACACTTCCGCCCCCTCGCTCCCAACCCACCCACCTCGCCGACCGCAGAACCGCGCGATCTCGGGCGATCTCGGGCCGCGCCGCGCGATCTCGGGCGATCTCGCGCTATCTCGGGCGATCTCGGGGCCGCGCCACGCTATCTCGGGCGATCTCGGAGCGTCGCTCGCGCGGCGTCACACCTGCTCAAAAAGGAAGGAGGTTGGAGGCAGGAGGTCACGCCCCATCCAGAAAAGAAAGAAAGAAAACAGACAACCCAAGGGAGGGATGGGAGGACGGCACGCCGCCACCACACAGGGATTTTAAGGAGAGGTGTGTGGTGCGCTATCCGTCGCCCACCCTAGGGAGTCTGCCTCTTCCTATCTCTCTTCGCAGTCTCTCGCCGATTCTCGCTTCAACCTTCGTGCCACCTCGCGGTCGTCCCACCCTCGTCGTTCTCTCCCTTGTCACTTCCTCCTCCGTCGCGCTGTTCTCTTCTGCCTCGTCCTGCGACGCCGCCACCTGCCCCATCCAGAGCGCCGTCGTCGCCGGGTTGGCGGCTCCTTTTTTTTAAAGCGCTTAGCAGCCCGACGCTCGGGCGACCTGAACGATGAGCCGTCAGCTCCTCCTCCTGCTCGCAGCTGTAACGAGAGGAGCCTCGGCAGCAGCATGCCTTCGCCAGCCACCGATGCTCGCAGCTCGGCCACCTCTGATACATTCGTTTCGCATGTCGACGACGCCAGCCGACAAAGCGCCGCCCGAAGCCAGGTCAGCGCCGGCCGCTCTCCCGCCACCGCGCTTCGGCGAGCTGCTTAAATTCACGGTCCTTGCGATGCCAATCTACGTCGCGCCGACGCTGCTCAGCCTCATCGACACAGCTGCAGTCGGCCAGGCTCCGCACACCTGCCGAGACTTCCGAGACACTTCCGAGAAGCGACCGGCATCCTCGCTGCCCGCAGGTCTCATCCGTGCAGTTAGCGGCGCTCGGACCGGCGTGTGGAATCTGCGACGCGATTTCGACCATGATGGTCTTCATCTCCGTCGGTACCACCAACGCCGTCTCGACTGCTGTGGGCGGAGGTGCGACAGTGAGAGTCACACCGGTGACCCAAAATGCCCCGCCGTGACGCTCTGAGCAGCTGCCCGACGTGTCCGTCATGCCTCATGCTTTCGAGGGCACATACTCGACCACTATCCGTTCCTAAGCAGGCGACCGCGCCGCCGCCAAGCGCGCCGCCTCTGTCTCCGTCACCACCTCGTTCGCAATCGGCTGCGTGGTTGCGCTGCTCCTGTCCCTCTCTATCGGACCGCTCATCGCCAACTTGGTCGCGCCCGCCGCCGTGGCGAGCACGGTCGCGCGAACGGGAGGCGACACCGCCGCCGTTGCCGTCACCACTCAGCTCTGGGCTGCCTGCGAGACGTACGTTCGCATCCGCGCGCTGTCCTTCCCCTTCTCCCTCGCGCTCATGTCTGCACAGGCGTCTTGCCTTGGCGCAAAGGACTCGCTCAACCCCACCCTCGCGACCCTCACAGCCTCTCTCGTCAACGTTGCCGGTGACGCCGCCCTCGTCCTCGGGCCGCTCGCCATGGGCATCGCGGGTGCCGCGTGGGCGACAGTGGGCTGTCAGGTCGCGGCCGCGTTGGTGCTGCTGCGCACGCTGCGCCGGAAGGGCATGCTCGAGCTGCGCCAGCTGCCCTCTGCTGATGAGCTGCGACGCTTCTTTGCGTTCGGAGCCTTCATCGTCGTGTTGTTTGTCAAGCAACTGGTGTACAACCAGGCCATTCTGCTCGCCTCCATCCTCGGGACCGCCGCCGGCGCGGCGCACCAGTGCCTCTTCTCCATCTTCAGACTCTGCTGCACCCTTGGCGACGTGACTGGGGCAACCGCGCAGAGCTTCCTTCCCCGGTACTATGTGACCGACGAGGCTTCCGGCCGTGTCACGTTCGACGCCGCCTCCGCGCGAGGGACGATCAAGCGCATCGTCGGCATGACTGCGCTGGTCGCGCTCTGCAACACGGCCATCACCTTTAGCGTCCCGCTGTTGCGGCCGGGCCTCTTCACAGCGGACGCCGAGGTTACCCGCTTGCTGCGGCGCGCGGCGCCGATTGCGGCGGCGGGGCTGCTGCTCCACCCGCCCGTGGTTGGGATGGAGGGGTGCCTCCTTGCCACCAAGGACGTGCGTTGGCTGGTGCGCCACTACGTGGTCACGGGCGGCATTGCCGTCGCCGCGACGCAGCTGCTGCTCAAGGTTGGGGCGCTGCGGTCCGCCCTCAGCCTCGACGGTATCTGGCTCTACCTCGCCGCGTTTCAGGCCACGCGCGCCATCAGCTTCGTCGGGAGGCTTATCGGCGTCGGCAAGTCGCCGCCCAAGAGATAAGAGCTGGCGGAGGAGACGTTGGGAGAGTTGTTTGTCTTGTGGCACAAGGGTTGTGGGTGACGCGCGTGTGAGGCCACAACGTACGAGTAGAACACGCCCAGAGAGGAGAAAAGGAGGCGGCCGCGTTTGCGGTTTGGGTGAAATTCTGAAGTGATGCAATCCTCCGGGCTCATGGGTGCACTCGACTTCTCGAGAACCTGGCAGCCGGGGTGATGGTGGCGGCTGGCGTGCAAGGCCTGACTAGGGGGGGCCGCTGGGTCTGGACGGTAAGCCGTCGTTGCCCGGCGCTGCTTGCAGCGCTCATGCGCTCTGGGTGGTGGTGGCGGCGCTCCAAGAGTGGTGCTCTTGGGAAGAGGTTCCTCCTTTCTAGCCTCCTTTCCGCTCCCCCCCCCCCCCCGCGCAAGGGGCGAGACACACACGACTACGGCTTTACGTATACTCTATTGAGTATCTTGAGTACGGTTAATTGAAGCCGTACGATCTCAGTGTCGTACACAGGTACACAGCCGAGGCGTTAAGTGTTTATCGTAGCCGCCGAGCTTTACCCCGCTGTTTCTTTATAGGTGTCTCGAAGCGGTATTCTCGTATTCTCGTATTCTCGGCGAGAGTAAGGTATTACGTGGGGGCGCGGTCCACCTAGCACCCCAATGTGCTTTCGCACCCTCTCCTTGCGTGGTGTCCCCCACTATGTGTCGCCGTTATCGGGGCACGCAATCCTGTGCAGTCAGGGCAAGTGGGGGCGGGGGGCACTCCCCCTGGTCTGATACTGGGGTGTGACTGTCTCCAGTCTCGGAGGGGGGCTTGAAGCTAAGAATTTTTTTTTACGTGGGGGCGCGGTGCGTATGCTCGTATCACTAGCTCCGAGTAGAGGGGTCGTCCTGCTAAGGGGAAACCCGGTACGCGGGGCTAACCCTCGGAGAGTATTATTTAGCTCCGAGCAGAGGGCGCGTCCTGCACTTAAGGGGAAACCCGGTACGCGGGGCCAACCCTCGGAGAGAACCGTGTTATGGCCCTGCGACCGCGCACCCCCCAGGGCTAGGGCTCTCTTGCCCGCAACCCGATACCAATCGTCCGGCCAACTGGGTGCGCTTCTTAGCTCCCCGGTCCTGGGCGTGCGGTTAACCACTGCACTCCAAGTGCTCCAAGTGCATCTCTGTGTGTGTGCGCGCGAGAATAGCTCCGCCGTTCATGGAGGCAACCGATGCGAGCCGACTGGTGTGTGTCGTCGTGGTTTCGTATCAAAAATACTCACTCACTCACACACACAGGCATCTCCAGGAGAGATGGGCGAGTTGTGCGAGTGGGCATGTTGTTTCTTCTTCCTGGAATTCTTTTCCTGTGTTAAGAACGATGGGCAAGTGCCAACCACCGCCGCAATTCGCGTGGTGTTCCACTGGCCAGAGGGGTCAGTGCGGCTGCCGTCGGAACCAGCTGCGTCTGACGCAAAACTTATTCCGCCGGGCGCGAGCGCGACGTTCAGCGTGGTGGGCGTGCTGCTTCAGCCGATGCTGTGGGGTGTGCGCTCACCTTCGATGTACGTCGCCGCGGTGGAGCTCGTGGTGTCCGATGCCGGCGGGCCCGACCGAGTCGCTGATCGCGTGGACGTGAGGTTCGGTGTGCGAAAGGTGGAGTGGGGAAGCAAGCTCGGGTTCCGGCTCAACGGCGAGTCTCTCAAGCTGCGGGGCGGCTGCTTGCACCACGACAACGGGCCGCTGGGCGCGGCTGCGATCGACCGCGCCGAGGAACGCCGCGTCGAGATCCTGAAGAGGAATGGGTGCTACAACTCCTGTAGACCGCTCGACGTGACGCACACAGATAAAACACACAGACGTGCGTGAATTAACTGCTAATAGGTACAACGCGATTCGCACCGCGCACAACCCCGCGTCTCCCGCCCTTCTCGACGCATGTGATCGGCTTGGCATGCTCGTCGTGAACGAGGCGTTCGACAGCTGGAGCAAGGGCAAGCTTGCGGACGACTACCACCTCTACTTCGACGCGTGGTGGCACCGCGACCTGGCGGACATGGTCTTGCGGGACCGCAACCACCCGAGCGTGGTGATCTGGTCCATTGGGAACGAGATCCCCCTCCGTGCCCGCCCTCTCGGTGCGAGCTTGTCTAGGGAGCTGAGCGACTTTGTTCGCGCGCGTGACCCCGAGGGCCGTCCAGTGACCAGCGCTTTCAGTTGGAGCCCGGAGTGGAACCCCGCTGAAGCGGACGACTTCATGGCGCCGCTAGACACGCCCTGCGCGTTTGCTCCGCCTCCCCGTCGTCTTCCCTGCGTCGTCTGGCGACGGGTCCTCCATAGTCGGTCGAGGTCGCCGCCCTCCTCGTGCCTCTTCCCAGCGTTCCCTCGGCGGCCGATGCCCGGCCGTCTGCTCCGGCTCCCCAGTCCCCGGTTCTGCCCTGCTCTCGTCTGCGCTAGTTTCTGCTTCGTCATCACTGGTTGGAAAGACGATAAGGTAAGCTTTAAAGGTAAATTTCTCACACACAAAGTGCTGGGGCAAGGGGGGGCGACCCTCGAATCTCCACGAGTGACTGTGTCGGGCCTAGTGACCAGGTCCCTAAACGGGGCGGGGACACATGTCCCATGAGCTCGCCGGGACGTCGTCGATGGCTCGGCGCGCCTCTTCCCGCCTGCGCGGGACGGCCTGCCTACAGGAGGGAGGGGGGGGAGACGGAACTGAGCCCTAGGTTCGTGATCTCGTCGCCGGCAAGGGCTGGGAGAGGGGCGGCAAGCGACGGGCGGGTCCACGACCTTTTGAGCGCCCATGAGCTCGCCGGGACGTCGTCGATGGCTCGGCGCGCCTCTTCCCGCCTGCGCGGGACGGCCTGCCTACACGAGGGAGGGGGAGGAAGACGGAACTGAGCCCTAGGTTCGTGCAAAAGCGCCGGCAAAGGCTGGGAGAGGGGCGGCAAGCGACGGGCGGGTGAGCGACCTTTTGAGCGGTCATGAGCCGGCAGGGAGGCCGGCGATGGCTCGGCCAGCTCCTTCCCGGCGGGTTCTCGTCGGGCTGTGCCTAGGCGGCGGGGCTCGGGTGAGGTGAGCGGGCCCGGGAGTCGCATCTGCGCGTCCCCGGCAGTGGCAGTGTGGGGGTAGATGGGAAGTGCGGAGATGGGAGGCAACGCGCCTGTTTGATGGCCGCACGAGGCAAAATTGGGCGCTCCGAGCGTCTTCCCGGCGAGAACGAGCGGGCTGTGCATCGTGGGGGGGGTGACTGAGAGGGAGGTGGTCGTGCGCTCACTTTGGCGGTCGCGCGCGAGGAGAATACTGGGTGTGAGGCGCGCAGGAGGCGAGGGTGGGCGCGCCGGCGGTCGAGCCGCCGAAGAATTCGACGTGGCGCAGCTCCGTGCCGGCGGGGACGACCAAGCACATGATGTCGGCGGCGGTCGCGCGACGAGCGAGAGCCGCAGGGGCCCTCTGAGAGCCAGGCGCCGAAAAGCAGCGTGGGCGGCGGCCGCGATCAGCCACCTGTGGGCGGTCATCGGGGTCGCGGTCAAGCTCGCGACGGGGTGAATCTGGTGCGTCTCGTATCACTGGTGGGCTGGGTTTGCAGCAGCAGCGCTCAAAAAGAGGCAGAAAACTCGGCTGCTACTTTGACTGTCTACTCTTTCGACGCACCGTCCTCGACCGCGCTGAAGAGCTGGCTGGTGGTCGCGCGCGGCGCGTCGGCGCCTCTCCAACTGGTTGGGCACCTCGGCTGGGTCCATCAGCAAGAGGCCCGCGCCGTCGGCCAGCCCCGCGAGCGCATGGGCGGCCGGCGCGGAGGACGCGGGCCGAGATCTCGCTGTCTTCAGCTCTTTCCCGTGCCGTTCACGTATGCGATTGCAAACTCGCGGTTCACCGCCGGGTCTTCGCCGGGTGTCTCCTGCCCACGTCCCCAGCGCGGATCTCGGTTGATGTTGATGTTGGGCGCCCAAAGCGTCAGGCCGTGATTTCTGCGCCCGTCGCGCCGATTGTGCTTCCCGCGCGCTTCTGTGGCAGTGGCGTCGCCGACAAGCCCCCAGAGGGTCTTGTTGAGGCTCGACGCCAGACCTATGACCTGCGGGAAGGACGTGGCGACGCCATCCCGAGCAACACCGTGCAGGCCCTCCGTCCACCAGTCGTACGGAGGCATATCAAAACGCGGGACGGCAGCCCAATCGTTGACGAGCAGCTCTGCCTTCTCTTCGGGCTCAAGTGCACGGACTAGCGCCGCTGCACGCTCCTCGAAGGATCTCGATGCGTTACACCATTGCCTGCCAGGCTGGCCACCATCGCATGGGCGAGTTTCAGCGCCAATTGTGGCCGCGGACAGCGGGAGCATTTAAGTCCGGCGGGCAGGGCGGCGGGCGGCCTGACCTTTGAATTCTTTTTCTGCTCGAAGCCTGGAGAGCATTCGCTGAGCTAGCAGGCGCGACCATGACGTCGAGCATCGGCAAATACGCCTCGAGTTACGAGGAGGCGGTCTTCAAGGGCCATCCCGACAAGGTGGTGCGCTCGGACGTCCGTCCTGCGGACTACATCAGCTCTTCGCGCCTCGGCTCCTTTTGGGCGACGCGTGCGGAAGAGCTGCTCATCCTTTTGTTTCTGGCGCTTGTGATCGGGTGCGCTGCCTCTGTCAAGGGACGATCCTGCACGCTCAGCCACCGCCACAGCGACAATGTCTCGGCAGGTACTGCACCGGCTTCTACGTGGTCGGGTGGACCGCGCTGCTCCCGGTGAGGCTGGTGATGAGCTATGGTTGGGATCTGCTCCTCGCCAGTGCGATGCTGCTCCGACTGCACGGTGGCTCTTATCTGGCTCCCTACCTCCCCTTCCCTTCCACCAGCCCGCCCATCTTCCACTCCTCACAATCCCTCGCCCTCTCTCGCCCTCCGCCGCTCGCTCCCACACGCCCTCGACCTCTTGCGCCAGCAGCCACCGCCCACTTCGCCTCCGCTCCCGCCCATTCCCGCCCTCTCAGGCCGCCTCTTCGCGCCGCGTCTGCCCGGGAAAAAGGCGGTCGCAGCCATGCCGGCCGCGGAGCAGGAGGAGGCCAAGGCGAGGCGGAAGGCGGCGGCGCGCGCCTACTCCTCGAGGCGCAACGGCGCGCTCCTCGCGTGCGCGCTCGCCGCCGCGGCCCGTTGGCACTACGGCTGGGGGGACGTCCGCTCCTACTTGGGCGCGTCTTCCTGATGGCGTGCGCGCGAGCTGGCGAGTGCGTGGTAATGCGTGGGAGCCCCTCCCGGGCAGTGAGAGGAGTGCTCTGAAAGGGCCCCCACTCTCGTCTCGCCGATCGGTCTCGGCCGCGGCTCTCCCTCCGCGACCGTGAAGAGGCCAGTCCGGGTTTTTGTGCCGCATAACACTGGGCTCTTGGTTGGCTCCAGTGAAAATACATCAGGTGTGTGTACGCCACGCTGGAGTGCCGCAAGTCGCAACCTCGCAAGACCAAGGCTGCCGGCCGCCGCGGGGCGCGCGCCCAGCGCCGCCACAACCCCCCGCACGCCGCAGCCGCACATACGCCATACGGATACGCCAGACCGCCAGCCGGTTGTTGCACGAGTATATGGGACAAAAGCGTCGAAATTGTCCCAAAAAAGCGTGTCTCGAGCTTTGCAGCTCCGCAGCCTGGGCGCGCGCTGCCGGGACGCACCGCTTGCTGGATACACGCACTCCCTGGGTCCCAGGGAGTGCGTGTATCCAACAGGAATGAGTGTACGGGGTGTGGAGGGTGAGAGTTGACCAGGGGTTGTGCGCCGGGCCCTCCTGCTCGGCTCCAGCCAGTAGACAAGTCTTGTCACTAACAGAGTAGAAGGATCTGACCTCGGGGCCGATGTGACCAAGCGCTGGTAGCGTGGTTTTACCTCACACCCATGGTCTCACAGTGTGCCGGCAGTCGCCGAGCAGTGTCGCTCACACAAGCCGCAGCACAAGTGACTGAGGGCCAGTGAGGGCGAGCCCATCGCTGTCACAGCTGTGGCAGCCGCACAGTAGGCTGTGCCATCTGTGCAGAGCGTGTGAGCAGCAGAGGAGCTGCTCTCCAAGCTTCAGGCGCAAAGAGCTGCATGCCACCGAAGGCGCTGTCGAGGTTCGCCGAGCGCGGCGCAAGTTCAGGTCGACGTCGCTGTCGCCCTCCCCGTCCCCGTGTGTGTGTGTGTGTGTGTGTGTGTGTGTGTGTGTGTGTGTGTGTGTGTGTGTGTGTGTGTGTGTGTGTGTGTGTGTGTGTGTGTGTGTGTGTGTGTGTGTGTGTGTGTGTGTGTGTGTGTCACGTCACTGCATCCTCTGCCGGTTCCTCCCGTCGCCTCTTCTTTGTTCGAATGTTTACTTTTTCAATCCATCCTTCACGAAGCCCTCCCATGTAGCTAGCGTTCTTTGCGAATGTCTCGAAATGGCCAGCAGGCGCTGTCTGCTCGCGGCCTGTGCGGGCCGCTCGTCCTCCTCGCCCTTCTTTCGTCGAGAGTTCAGGACAGTCGCAAATGAACTGCTTCCTTCTTTTGTGATGTTAAATTCTTTTGTGATGTTTCCTTCCCGGGTGCGTGCCACAGTGAACAGTGTCCCGTATGGCCGTAAGATACTCGCTCCTATTGGAACACTTCCGGATCTACGTCCACCGGAGATCAGCAGGAGGATGTACGACGAGATTCGATTAGGAGCAGCAGGGACCCGAGGGACCATGTGGAAGACGGCTAGTGCTAGGTCCCCCATTGGGAGGACGACCCGGGCTAGTCGCCGACCACACCCACAAAGAACCCTGCACAAAGACCGCAGGGCGGGGACCTGTTCCTTTTTACCCATCTCCTAATAGAGGTGTCCGTTTTATTTATTTATTTATTTATCCACCGGTGAGCCGCACACATACCGTCGGCGTTGGCGTCAGGATAAGCGCTAGGGAGCGGATCGCAGCCTCCGAGGCCGTCGGGAGGAGGAGCTGCGGGGCCGTGATTGCACCTTTACCTTACCTAGTTTCGGGGTCGAGGTCGCCGCCCTCCTCGACCGCTCGTGCCACTTCCCAACGTTCCCTTGGCGGCCGATGCCAGCGGATCTTCAACCCTCGCACAAAAAGATATTTTCGATTTCAGGGGCAAAATTTGAGTGCCCGCGCCAAGAATTTTCGCGAGGCTACCAACTGCAATACCAAGTCACAAGTGCCAAGGCTCCAAGTGCGGCATCAATGAGCAGCGTTACTCCCCACGGCCCAGCGCCGCCTCGTCCGCCGGCCCGCCGCCGCTCTCCCGCCACGGCCTCCACTCGACCGCCGCCTCGCCGCGGGAAGGGTGGCACCCTCCCCAACGGCAGGTGGCGTAGTGCTCTCGCGCGACGGCCGGGTTGAGCGCCTGCTGAAATCGCCGAGATTCACCGAGATTCTCCGAGATTCGCCGAGCTTTGCCGAGATTCGCCGAGCCGAGCCGAGATCGCGACGGCCGGGCGACGGCGCGCCTCCAGCAGCCGCGGCGCCCCCGCCCTCCTGCTCGGGTCGTACGAGTATAGCAGCGGCGGGAAGGCGGTCGAGCGCGTGGCGCGCATCGCCTCGTGCGCGCGACCCCACGGCGCGGCGACGCCTTGCTCGCTGGCGAGCTGCCGCAGCCTCCTATCGCCCAAGTTCATATCGAGGGCCACCGTCAGGTTGGAGGGCGGCGCAAAGGGGCGCCAGCCGCCTAGAAGGTTGCTAGAAGGTTCCTAGAAGGTTCCTAGAAGAGGCACCGGCGCAAAGGGGCGCCAGCCGCCGTCGGCCGAGTTGGGGTGCACCTGCAGACGGGACCAGCGGCGGCGGCGGTACGTCTTCGGTCCCCGGGAAGCCCCGCGCACAGGACAACAGCGTCCGTCCCACACACACGCACAGACGCACACATACACATACATGGCTCGGGCATCATTCTCGGGGAGGCCAAGCGAATCTCGGCGAATCTCGGCGAATCTCGGCGAATCTCGGCGAACCTCAGCGGGCCACGACGGATCTCGACGCATCTCGACGGATCTTGACGCATCTCGGCGCATCTCGGCGACTCTCGGCCTTTGTCCATGTGGCGTGGGCCAGCGTCACGTTGCGCGAGAGGCACCGGCTGGCCCACAAGCCTGCAGGAGGAGGTTCCGAGAGGGTTCCGAGAAGGTTCCTAGAAGGTTCCCAGAAGAGGCACCGGCTGGCCCACAAGCCTTGCAGCGCCGCGCAGTCGTTTGGGCAGCGCCGCACGCCGCCGAGGGCTGCCAGCCTACCTTAAGGTACGTGCTTAATACGCCGACATGAGGGCGGGAGTGCGGTATTGTGCAGCGACGCGTGCCGGATGGAGTCCGGCCGCGGGTGACTAGGGAAGTTCGCTCAGGATGTGTGGCAGTCAGTTTGGCTGAGTGTCTTGTCTTGTGGTTCTGTGTGTCGCTCCTGTGTGACCGTCACCGCCCGTCTAGCGTCCACCCATACCGCGTTGGTGTCCCAGTCGTTGGTCGGACTGTGTTTCGCCTTCCCATCAATCAATCAGCGCGTTGAGGGCAGCGCGTGGAGACAGCGGAGATAGGAAGACAGTGAATACAGCGGAGTGCGGGTGAATACAGCGGTCACACACGTGTCTCTCGAGTGCTGGACCCCACACGAATCCGTATTCAGCGTCTAGGGGCTGCCAGCCAGCGCCGCGGGTAGTCGCAGCCGCCCATCGCTCGCACCATCGCCGACGAGCGCACATCAACCTCGTGAGTCGGCGCCGGCGTGACGGGCTGGGCACCGGCGGGGCACCCCCTCTCCTAGGAAGGGTTCGAGGCAGCTCGGGAGAGCGCTCGTGTGGGGGCGAGCGCGCCGGCGGGGGCGCAGCCACGCTCCTTGTCGAGCGTGTGTCGCACGCCCTTGGCCGAGAGCACGGGGTCGTCCTCAAAGCCGCCCGCCCAGCAGCCCGTTCGCTGGTGGCCGATGTCTCCATTGCCCGTCCAAGCCATCAGACCCCACCACAGAGCGTCCCGGGCGTAGCCAACCAGTCGGCCGAGCTCAAAGCGTAGCGCCGGGAGGGCAATGAAGACGTCGTCCTCCGTCTTGCCGATGAAGCTGGCGGCGGGCCACGCCGCGAGCGAGTGGGAAAACCAGGCGTGGGTGAGCTCCGCGCACACGCATGCGCTAGTCGTTGGAAGCAGGAGGACATCGTCGCCCGTCGGCGGTGGCGGTTCAACCCGAAGCCGCCGCTGCCCCCGCCGCGACGTGCGGTGGTGCGGGTCCGAGAGCTCCTCGTGCGGCGCCGGAAAGACGAACCGTGCCGTGACCTGGAGGGCTGCAGCGTGCGCGAGCCACGTCCGACGCGCGTGCACGGGATTTGCGCTCGCTGTTTTGGAGCGCAGAGTCGCGTCTGAGGGAAGGATGCCGAGCACGAGGAGAGGCCGTGCTGTGCGCGGCTCGGGCATTCCAGATGGCATCAGCCCTGGTCGCGTAAGTTTCGCGCGAAATGTGCGACAGCGAAAAAAAGAAACGCGCTACGCGGGTGGCGAGAAAAGCAGCGTGCCGTCCTCCCATCCCTCCCTTGGGTTGTCTGCTTTCTTTCTTTCTTTTAGGGAAGTTCGCTCAGGTTGTGTCTAGTGTCAGCCCCGTTAGCTGAGTGTCTTCCCGATCCCCGCCCCCGTGTCGCGACGACCGGGTGTGCTCTGTGTGGCCCTGGCGTGGCCCGCGTGCCCCCAGACCCCCTGTTGCGTGCTCGCGTCGGTCGCCACAGCTCAACAATCTGAATCTCACACTCGCTATCGCTCCCCCTCCAGATTTCGAGCAGCGCCTCACGCATACTACGGCGTCGTTGCCCGCCCCCACGCCTCGATTTTCTTGGGCAGCAGCTGGTTCGACAGGTCCTCTCCGTGACCGAGGAAGCCGCGTTTACCCTCGCCCCAGGAAAACACGGGGCCGCTGACGGTGATGGCGATGCTGTGGTACTCTCCACTCGACACAGCGACGACGCGCTGGCCAGCCAAGGCCTCGATCTTCTTCGGCAGCGACTGGTTCTGCTGGTCGCCGTGGCCCAGCCGGCCACCGTAGCCAACGCCCCAGCTCCAGACGGCGCCGTCGGCGGTGAGGGCGAGGCTGTGGCAGACTCCAGCCGAGACAGCGACGACGCGCTGGCCAGCCAAGGCCTCGAGCTTCTTCGGCAGCAGCTGGTTCTCCTCGTCGCCGTGGCCCAGCCGGCCGTTCCCTCCCCAACCCCAGCTCCAGACGCTGCCGTCGGCGGTAAGGCCGAGGCTGTGGTCGCCTCCAGCCGACACAGCGACGACGCGCCGCCCCGCCAAGGCCTCGACCTTCTTCGGCAGCAGCTGCGTCTCCTCGTCGCCGTGGCCCAGCTTGCCAAAGCCTCCATCGCCCCAGCTCCAGACGGCGCCGTCGGCGGTGATGGTGAGGTTGTGTAGAAGTCCAGCCGAGACAGCAACGACGCGCTGGCCAGCAAAGTTCTCGATCTT